TTTTTTTTTGGAGAGGTTTTTTCGCTATAGGGCGCGTGCGACTCACCAGACAGACAGACAGAGAGAGACAGAGAGACAGAAAGCGAGAAATCACCCCCCAGGGGGAATGGTCACGCCACAATCCCTTCTCCTCCATTCTCCCCTCGGGATCCTGGGCACACACGCACACGCGCCCTGCGTGAGTTTTAAGCCACTGGGTCCGGGACGCGAACTGTGGTTGACTATGTGGGAGTCCAGCGACTAACTGCTGGTTACACTAACTGCTGGTTCCCTTGATTTATTGTTTCTGAGAGAGAAAAAGAAGAGAGACACCCTTTATTATTTTTAAACTTATGAATTCCTTTATTAATATTAAAGGGTCTTATCAGATTCCTTAGGGCTTTAAAATATTTTTCCATTTTGTATTTTTAGCAAAATAGCAGAACAATCCTTGTTATTTTATGGCAGTGCCTTAACAGAGAATGTATTGGATTGTTGGGAGAGTCATGGTGCATTTTTGTATAGGAAACTATGTCATGACTTTCCCAATGACCTAATACTTTTTTTTTTTCCTTCAAATTTTTGTTATAGGGCACATGTGCTTACTAAAGACAGAAAGAGAGGGAAAATGAGAAAGCACCCCTGGGGGATGGCGATGCAGAACCCTTCTCCACCATTATCCTCTCCAGATTTTGGACACACATGCATGCATACCTGGTGTGTTTTTCAAACCACCAGGTCCAGGACTCAAACTCTCAGTTGGTCATATGGGATCCAGCCACTTTATCCTCCACCATCTACTGGCCCAAGGATGTATTTTCTACAAGTATTTTCGCACAATATATTATGAATGATATTAAATTGATGAAAATCATTAAATTTTTTAAAAAAGAATTACTTAATTTTATTTACCATTATTATTATTATTATTTTAAAATTTGACCAGAGGGTCAGGGGAGTGAGAAAGCAAGCTGCTGGGAAAAACACACACAAAAAAATGGAAAGTTGGGACCAACAGTTAGCGTAATGGCTATGTCACTGGACTCCCATGTAGTCGACTGCGGTTCGAGACCTGGACCCGGTGGCTTGAACTCACGCCGGGTGCATGTGCGTGCATGCCCAAGATCCCTAGAGGAGAAAGGATTGCGGCATGGCCATCCCCCCTGGGGGGTGATTTCTCGCTTTCTGTCTCTCTGTCTCTCTCTGTCTGTCTGGCGAGCGCACGCACCCTATAGCAAAAACGTCTCCAAAAAAAAAGGAAAATTGGAAAAATGACTTTCCTGGCTTGGAAGTTGAAATTCTTTTTTTTTTTTTTTCTTTTTTCATTTTTCGTTTTTTTGTCAGAGTGTGTGTGCATACACAGAAATTGAGAGAGAAAAAGAAAAGGAGGGAGAGAAGGAGGGAAAGCAGCCCTCAGCCGGGCCTGGTCATGCCATAGTCTTCTTTTTTTCAATTGTCCACTCCATCAGTATGCTGGGCACACCCAGAATGCTTTTCAAACTGTTGGGGCTGAGGATTGAATCCCAGTCAACTAGGGATCCAGCTTCCTCCATGCAGTACTCCACTCTACTGCCCTGAAGGGCTGAAATTCCTCTATTTTATGCTCAAAGAAAATCTAATTTTGCATCATCTCCATGGCTTGGTCATTAGGGCAGCCCGATACCATATGACCAGCTATGTGGTTTGAGTCCCAGACCCAGTGGCTTGAGAAATGTACCAGGTAGGTGTATGCATTCATGCCCGAATTCTTGAAAGGAAAGAGAAATGTAGGAGAAGGGGTTGTGGTGTGACCAGTTCCTATGGGGGAGGTTTTTTAGTCCCTCTCTGTCTCTTTCTCTGCTGAGCACATGTGCTCTCTAGCCAAAAACAAAAAAAAAAGATTAAAAAAAGTGACTTTTTGTCTTAGGACATGTATTTAGCTGGGGAGAGGAGAGGGAGACGACGAGAAGGAAAGTGAGCAATCACCCCCTGGGCAGATGGCCACACCACAACCCCTTTTCCCTCAGTCTCCTCCTGGGATCTTGGGAACACACGCACATGTGCCCAGCGTGATTTTCAAACCATTGGGTCTAGGACTCAAACCACGGTTGGCCATGTGGAAGTCCAGTGATATAACCACTGTGCCGTCTGCTGGCTCCAAGCCTTATTTTTTAATTTTGTTTTCCTGTGAGAAGGTTCAGATTCCTTGCTGAATAGGATATGGCAAGGGTGGCTGGTTTTTATTCCTGGTAAATGTCAAGTTGGATAGTTGGCTTGTATTTTACTTTATTTTTTTAAGTGCTAGAGAGCCCATGAACTTACCAGAGAGAGAGAGATAGTCATAGAGAAAGAGAGAGAAAGGGAGAAAGCACCCCCAATAATGGGGTGTGATCACACCACAATTTCTTGTTCATTTCTCCATCCTGTTGGGATTTGGGGCATGTATGCACACATGCCCTGGCATGCTTTTCAAGCTACTGGGCCAGAATTCGAACTATGGTTGGCTACATGAGGTCTAACTCTCTTAGTATACCATAAAATACCATTAGTATTTTATCTTTATTTATTTATTTATTTATTTTTGAAGAGATTTTTGGTATAGGGCATGTGTGCTCACTAGAGAAACAGAAATAGAAAGTGAGAAATCACCCCCCAGGGGGGATGGCCATGCTACAGTCCCTTCTCTTTCATTCTCCTCTTGGGATCTTGAGCATGCGTGCACATGTGCCTGGCATGAGTTTCAAGCTGCTGGGTCTGGATTTGAACTGTAGTCCATCACATAGGAGTCCAGTGCCTTAATCATTAGGCCACCTCCCAGTATTTTATCTTTTTAATGTCAGTTTGTAAGCACAGGAGCTTGCTTGATTTCGAAAGACTTCTGGTCAGATGATGTCACTTGGGGGGATTTTGAAGAATTCCAGCATTTTATGGCGCTCTATAATTATTCCCTTTGCAGAGAGTGCTCGCCAGAGAGAAGGAGACAGTAAGTGAGAAAGGGAGAATCACTCCCTGGGGAGATAGCCATGTCGCAATCCCTTCTTCTCCATTCTCCTCTTGGAATTTGGGGTGTGCATGCACATGCACCCAGGATGAGTTTCAAGTCGCTGGGTCTGGGACTCGAACTATGGTTGACCATGTGGGAGTCAAGTCCCTTAACCACCATGCCACCTCTGGTCCCTAGTGGCCCTTTTAAGGGCATAGCTACTCAACATTTTCCTTACTAGCTTCAAAAAATATGACCAAGACCACCTTTGATGAGGAGACTCCTCTGAAACTATCATCCCCAGGTACTGGGAGGTGCTCCTGTGAGCTAAGGGTTTGTATCAGGGAGCTAAGAGTTTGCCAGCCTGTGTGTTATTAAAGATTGCTGTGATGTCTTTGTGGAAATTGGACCTGAGAAGATGAGGTGGGAGGTGGAGGCTGGTGAGGAGGCCCAGGAACAGACAGTGGGGGCCTGGGCTTAGGCAGTGGCCTTAAGAGGCAGCCATGTGGTAGAGAAGAGGTGAGAGGGTGGAGAGTGACTTCACTGCTCCAGGGTCGAGATCAAGCATAGAAGGGCATCGGCTCGGGGATGGAGGGCCCAGTGTGGGCAGGGGTGCAGGTGGGGAGTCATTGGTTTTTGAGGGGCATGAGTAGTGCACAGATCACCCAAGGAGAGAGTATGGAGTGAGATGTGGGGGCAGCGGGGATACCAGTTTATGAAGAATGAGGGCCCAGGAAGGAACAGCAGGGAAGTGGGAGGAGAAGGGCCTCATGACCTAGAGGGTGTTCTGGCCTCCACAGAGTGATTCAGAGGCCCCAGAGCCAAGCCAAGTGACTGAATGGCTGCACGGGCCCTGGTGGGCAAAGCCAGGCAGGGCCAGCGTGGTGATTTACTCTGTGGCCCTCTTCTGCCCCATCAGATTCTCAACTGCGTCTTCATCCTGTACTATGTGCTGGAGATGCTGCTCAAGATCTTTGCTCTGGGTCCACAAGGCTACCTGTTCTACCGCAGCAATGTATTTGATGGAATTCTCACTATAGTTCTGCTGGTAAAGTTTGGGATGGGGCGAGGCCTGGGCCTTCCTGGGCACGTTGTATGAGCTCCACCTGCATCTTTGCACTGTGTCCACCTCAGGCTTCCATGAGGACTGGAGGGCTGTAGGAAGGTGGGCTGCTGCCTTAAGTGACATGGTTGGCTTTCCCCAACTGAGCTGGCCAGCAGCGGGCCAGCCAGTGGGGGCTGTGTCTGAGGGTCGTAGGGAGGCAGGATGCCATTCTGACCCCTGAAGAGACCCAGAAAGGTGCCTCAGCCCTCGCCAGCTAACCTAGCCCTGGCACAGCCTCTAATGCTTGATTCGTAGGGTGACCTCAGCATGGGGGTGTCAGCTCCTCCTTCCCCCAGACACATGGTGTGTGTGTCACAGCAGCATTAATCAGAGTGACATCTACTCACTTTTGACCATTAGAGCCAGTATCCCCCTTAGAGCACGAGTGGAGAGGATTTGAGGAGGGCCTTTCTATCCATCTTTGACTAAGTAGCTTCTTCCATACCATGTGGGTCCCCAATTCCCAAGGCAGACTGTCTTTCCAGCTGCTAGGAGTCCTGACGTTTGAAGCCAACGTGTAGGGGCAAGGGCCGAGCTCTGATTTCTCCCTGAAAGCCCCTTTTGGGGAGAAATCTTAGGCATGAACTTCACAGTTCATTCGAAAGCCACCTCAGGTAGTGTTGCTGTAGCGATGCCTTCTTTTCTTTTGTAATTAAAGGTTTTGGAGATCTCCACTCTGGCAGTGTACCGATTCCCACACCCAGGCTGGTATGTGACTGAGGAGAACCGAGGGAAGTTCCAGCTACAGACCCCATCTAGCGCTCCCAGGAGGGTCTCAGCTGCCCCATGGGTCCAGGGGCTGCTCTCTTGGCTACTCTGACGCTGGCAGACAGTGAGGCTGTTGGACAGGGACTGGTCCTACCAGCTGAGGATTGTGGGAGTGGAGCTCTTCTGGTCACTCAGAACTCCTGTGTTCCCAGAGGGTGGGAATGCTGCTGCCCCTCTGAGGCATCATTTGCAATGGTGGCGGGGTCTCTCCTAGCACCATAATGGAACATGTGGCCCCATCTTGCTGGGGACTGGAAACAGCCTCCGGCTCAGGTCTAGGGGACCTGTGACCACTGGGATGGACCCGAGCCTCTGCTGGCAGGAAGGCTGGGATGTGGGCATCTGGCCAACATGGGTCCTTTCACTGAACCCCACTATGCCCTGTTCTGGCCATGTAGAGGGATGCCTCATGGTCAGGTGCTTGTCCTTTGCCAGCGCCTTTGTCAGTGGGTCTGCTCTGCCGAGGATCATGACAACCATTGGGCCAGCACTGGGAGCCTCTGTGTGCCCACAGTTTGGGTGGAGAACACAGCTGCAGAGACGGGAGGAGGGCACAGAGCCCAGCAGGCACACGTGCTGGCCTTGGACCCTCATTTGGGCTGGTCTGTTTGGTACCTCTGTTTGTCTTTTTTTAAGATCTTGGTGCAGTGGCTGGGGGATGCTTGAGAGAGGGGATGGGGCCAAAAGACTTACTGTTGAGTCACCTCCCTGGAAAGCCCTCTAGGAGTAGTTTATTAGGGGAAGACAGGCGGGACTGGTGCACCTGGGTGCCAGGCGGGAGGCCCTTGTGGGCCTCAGAAGCAGTGATGCTGTGTGGCCTGTGCTTTGTCTGAATTGCTGTCCTTGGGGTTCGTGGTGACATTCTGGGTGAGAGCAGGTTTAAGATAAGTAGAGACGAGAACATGAAAGGCCATGAGGGATGCCAAGGCAATAGGGTGGAGCAGGAACAGAGTCGGATGGTATCAGGGCATAGAGTTGGGTCAAGGAACTTGAGCTCAGGAAAGTCCCTGCGCTGGAACCTCAGTGGTCTCCTTCGTGTATGGAGGGCCTCCTAGCCCCACGCCACAGTGAAGCTGTGCCGGGAGGTGTGGCTGAGAATGGCCAGGATCTCTGTGTCTCTGTCTCTTGTGCCCACCTGTATCCTTGTGGTCCTCTTGCTGGCCTCCTGGGCTTCTCCTGACTCGTCTCCCGTGACTCTCTCTAGGAAGCCAGAGATGCTGGGCCTGTTGTCGCTGTGGGACATGACCCGGCTGGTGAACATGCTCATTGTGTTCCGGTTCCTGCGCATCATCCCGAACATGAAGGTGTGCAGACCCCGACCCCACTCCACCCGGGGCAGGGGCGCTGAGGACTCTTACCTGGGGCCCCTCAGGGTACCCTCTGCCCTCTTCCTCATCCTTGTGGAGCTAGGGTGGGGTAATGGGAAGCGTGGAGTGTTTCTGAGTGATGAGAGCAAGGGTCCATGAGGTTGTGGCTGGTGCGATGCCCTTGGCCAGTGGGAGGAGCAGCTCGTGTGCCTGTCTGGGGCGTGTTCCCAGGTGTTCTGAGGTTTCTGGAAAGACTTTGGCAGGAGCAGCTCCCAGTGGCCGCTTCTAATGGGGCAGAGGTGAGAGTAGAAGTAAGATGGGCAGAAATGAGAGCACAGGATTGGTGCTTACTTTGAGGACCCAGGACAGGTTCGGGCTGGGATGCAGGACTCGTTACTGTCTCCAAGCCTCGGTTTCCTTTTTCCTCTTTTGCTAAGATAGGATCTCAGTCCTTCTGCCTCAGTGCCCTGAGTAGCTTGGATTACAGGTACATGCCACTGTTTCTAGCTTTTAGGATGGGTCAGACATTGATCCTGAAGGAATTGAAGCCTTCCATGTAGCGTTAGCCTACTGAATAGCAGCATGAACCAGTATGCTACTGTGACTGGGCCTCAGTTTTTCTTTTTTTTGTTTGAGGATGCATTTGCTCGCCAGAAAGAGGAAGAGGGAGAGGAGAAAGTACCCCCCAATGGGGTGTTGTCATGCTGCAATCTCTTTATTTCTCCGTCCTGTTGGGATTTGGGGCATGCACACACATGTGCCTGGCATGTTTTTCAAGCTGCTGGGGCCTGGGTTCAAACTGAATGTCAGCCATGTGGAATTCTGCTCCCTTAACTGCCAGGCCATGGAGCAGGCCCCTCGGTTTTTCTTAATGTACCCAATAGGAATAAACAGTCACCTTGAAGGTGGGGGAGAGACTGGGGTGACCAGGATGGCAGGAGCAGCTCCCAGTGGCCGCTTCTAATGGGGCAGAGGTGAGAGTAGAAGTAAGATGGGCAGAAATGAGAGCACAGGATTGGTGCTTACTTTGAGGACCCAGGACAGGTTCGGGCTGGGATGCAGGACTCGTTACTGTCTCCAAGCCTCGGTTTCCTTTTTCCTCTTTTGCTAAGATAGGATCTCAGTCCTTCTGCCTCAGTGCCCTGAGTAGCTTGGATTACAGGTACATGCCACTGTTTCTAGCTTTTAGGATGGGTCAGACATTGATCCTGAAGGAATTGAAGCCTTCCATGTAGCGTTAGCCTACTGAATAGCAGCATGAACCAGTATGCTACTGTGACTGGGCCTCAGTTTTTCTTTTTTTTGTTTGAGGATGCATTTGCTCGCCAGAAAGAGGAAGAGGGAGAGGAGAAAGTACCCCCCAATGGGGTGTTGTCATGCTGCAATCTCTTTATTTCTCCGTCCTGTTGGGATTTGGGGCATGCACACACATGTGCCTGGCATGTTTTTCAAGCTGCTGGGGCCTGGGTTCAAACTGAATGTCAGCCATGTGGAATTCTGCTCCCTTAACTGCCAGGCCATGGAGCAGGCCCCTCGGTTTTTCTTAATGTACCCAATAGGAATAAACAGTCACCTTGAAGGTGGGGGAGAGACTGGGGTGACCAGGATGGTCAGGCTGATCTGTTTAGTGATCTGTTTAGCTCTGTTTCGTAAGAGCTTTTCAGGAGGAAAGAACCCTGGGGACATCGGGCTCCAGGTCCTACGTCTGTCCACATGCATCCTTCCCTGGAACTGTGTGCCTGCCCCACCTGTAGGTTAGCCTAGCTTTGTAGTATTTCCTAAGTGTAGGTGGCCCGTGGGTCCTGTGTGCATATCTTCATACATACTTGCATGCATATGCATGAACGTATGCATGGGCACATGTAGTCACAAGGCACATATGACTGCACACACACATACATACCCAGCCATGCGTATAACCACACACACAAACATGCATGAATACATGTTGTCATATGCACGCACATAATCCAGAGGCATACTTGTCATATATACCCAGCCACACAGGCGCATATGATCACAGTGTATACCTAGAGCACACATGTACCTACACATAACCACACAGGCGCGCACACACACACACACACACACACACAAGGTACATATGATCATGCACATACAGAATCATAGGCAGCGTGATCAAACACACAAATCGTTACACATGTGATTATACACATACACTTAAACCACAAGGCACACATAAGCACAGACGTGAACATATATGTAAGCATACTCGTGTGTGCGCACAACCACACACACATGTACATGCATATGCAAGCTTATGCATGGATAATTGCACACATAGATAGCCACTCCTCACGTAACAACCTACCCATTTGACAGCTGCGACTGCTTGGACAGTTCTCCAGTGCGAGCACTTTCTCAGTCTGCGTGAGTCTCAGGATCCGCTTTCTCGGTCTTTGCCTGGTTCCTGTATTCTGTTAGTATTCACTGCATGAAGCATTCGCAGTCCCGTGAGAACATATTTCGCTTATGTATTTGTGCTTTATAGTGCACCCATAGCAGAATAAACTAACACTGTTATGTTGGATTTATTTTATTGTGTTGTGGTGTCTTGTGGCTTTCTGGCACTTACCTGATGTACGCTTTTTGTGTGGGTAGAGTTATATTCTCCTTGTGCAGAGTCAAGTCGCATCTGTTGAAAAATCCACCCGCTGTGGTGCCTCAACACAATACAAGACATCTGCCTTTAAGTTCCTCACTTAGCAACCAATTTGCTCAATGCCGTAGGACCGGAACTTGGTTGGTAAGTGAGGAGTGCCTGCACATGCGTGCATGCACACCCATCTGTATATAAGTTGTATAGGATGTGCACACATACACACATGTACGTGCACATGTACAAGATGCACATGATCATACACACATGCGTATGGTACGTACATACTGGTTTCCATCTGCTAGGTCAGCTTCGTTACTATTTGACTGTACGAGGCAAGTAAATTGAAAGACGGAAAGCCTTTCTCAGGCTCAGGTTGTATCTGGAAGGAGCGGCTGTATATAGTGAGGTGCCCTGCCTGATTCTCTGGATTCCCCTTTCTCAGACTTGATTACCAGGGTGGACCCACCACCTCCAGACCACAGAAGAGCTGATCTTGCCTTAGAAGTCAGAAGGCAGAATGTGGTCTGAGGTCCTGGGCTTAGGGTTCTGCCAGAGACTTGGGGGAACTTGACACCTACATGAGGCAGAGTGGGTGGAGATGTCTAAATGCGGGGAGTGTACACAGGTGTGTATGAGTGCACGTGGGCAGATATGGGTGTCTGGGGTGTGAGGATGTGCACAGGTGGATGTGGGATGTGTGTGCAGGTATGTGTGGGTATATGGGTGGGTAGGTGGCGTGTGTAAGGTGTGTGCATTTACAGGTATGTATGGATAGGTGGAGGTGTCGGAGTGTAGGTGTGTCCAGGTGTGTGGATTGCTGTGGAGTGTGTGTAGGGATGTGGGCACATGTGTGTGGATGGAGGCAGGGGTGTGGGTATGTCCACATGTCAGGCGTGCATGGATGACTATGGGTGCATATCCAGGTATTTCCCGTGCTTTGGCTTGCCCTTCTAGTCAGGATGGCGGGCAGGGCTGGTGTGCCCTCAGCTGGCAGGTGAGTAAGGGCTGTGCTTGCTTCTTTCCTCAGCCGATGGCTGTGGTGGCCAGCACCATCCTGGGCCTGATCCAGAACATGCGGGCATTTGGCGGGATGCTGGTGGTGAGTCCTGGGGCCTTGTGGGGAGAGTGGCAACAAAGATGATTGAGGCCACAGAGATTCGGGCTTCGGCAGGAAGCCAGAACTGATCCTCTTCATTCCAGTGAAAGAACCTCAGAGCTGGGATGGCTCTGCCTAACCACGTACCCTTCCATGCCAGACATCCTTGTGGTAGCTCTCAAAACCCTCATATTTTCTGGGTCATGGACCACATTGAGAAACAAACAGAAGGAAAAAGAGGTATAGGATTTTGACTCCCAGAGACCTGCAAAAGTCGTGTGAAGCCCTGGTTGAGGGTTTGGTTAATGCTTTATTTTTAGATGGTTTCAGAAACTCATATGTTTGTCAGTTAAAAACTGTGGTGCACCTCCGGTCCCCTCCTAGGGCCCACCTTCCCACTGAGCTTGGCTCTGCCCTGTGGCTGAGTTTGGCAGAGAGGGAGGCCTGGGATCTGACAGGGCCTGGAGACGCTCTGCACCCGAGGGACAGTAATGGGGGTCAGGCAGCCCTGTGGTTGTGGGTTCTGCTCCTTTTATTCTGAACACCACAGTGGGCAGGGAACCCCTCGGCAGCCACATGTTGCTCTTGGCCTTTGCCCCATGGGATCACTGCCTTTCAGGCAGCCACATGTTGCTCTTGGCCTTTGCCCCGTGGGCTCACTGCCTCTCCTGGAGGTTGGAGATAGAATCTCGCACCAGGCATTGTTTGCCCAGACCTCTTACTTGCACAGCAGAGACTGAGGCCCAGAAAGGGGGCCTGTTTAGCTTTGGGTACATTGCAGACTCAGCTAGGGGTACCCCTCAGACTCCTGCTAGTAGATGTTAGGAGTGTGGCTGGGGCCCTCCCTCTTGCTACGGTGGTTTTCTCTTGGCTCAGTTTCTCTGTCCTCAGTGGAGTCTAGAGAAGGGATTGTCCCGTCTGTCCTGGGAGTGGGGAAAGCACTGAGCTAGAGACCAACAGCTCTGATGTCCTCACTGTTCAGCTCCTCCTTCCCATCCCTTCAGGTCTGTTTTCTGGGCTCTCTTGTGGCTCTTCTCTCCTTTCTTCCCCCTGCCCACTGCGTGCAGGTTGGCAGCCAGGAGGGGCCACCTGAGAGCTTTGTGAACACACTTACCAGACCCTTGCTGGTGTTTGGATGCCCCAGCCCTGGGGGAAGCCAGCCGTGTGTGTTTGGGAGCAGCAGCCAGGCTGAGGACCCCTGCCCTAGGGCAGAGGGGCTTGGCCTCATGGGGTCAGCCTAGCTTTGGAGATGCCATCTGAGGTGGAGGTTCAGGTGCCACCTGCCCGGTGGTACTGACTGAGTCCTTGGCCTCCTTAGGTGGTGTACTATGTATTCGCTATCATTGGGATCAGCTTGTTTCGAGGTGTCATTGTGGCTCCTGGAAATAGCAGGTAAAGTAGAGTCTAAAGGTGCTAAAGGAAATAGCAGATGGGTGGAATCTAAAGGTGCTAAAAATGCTGGGTTAGGACATCTTTCATCCCCTTCCCCTCACACCTCTGCTGTCCCCTGCTCAGAGCAATCCTGTTTCCCTCCACCATACCCTGCTTTGGAGCTTCAGGCCAGGCCGGACTTGGTGGCAGGAGAGGGGCATGTGAAGTGCCAGGCCTCAGACTTAGAGCCAGGCAGGCCCTTGAGCTGCAAGGATGTGCCTCCCCTCAGCTGCTGTCCACACAGAACTTCTGAGCCAGAAGGCACGTTTCCATTTCCCTGTATCACAGGGACCCAAGAGAGGTCCACCCTGTGCCTGGGGACTGGGGTCCTGGGTGTGTGTGGCCCTAGACCTCAGTGCTGACCCAGGTGTGTTTTGTTCCCCAGCCTGACCCCTGCCAACAGCTCAGCGCCCTGTGGAAGCTTTGAGCAGCTGGAGTACTGGGCCAACAACTTCGACGACTTTGCGGTGAGTCCTGTGCTGTTGCCCCAGCCCCTGCTCCCTCTGCCTCCCTGCCTTCCACATTCTCCTGGACCTGTGTCTGCTGCCCCACAGGCTGCCCTGGTCACTCTGTGGAACGTGATGGTGGTGAACAACTGGCAGGTGTTCTTGGACGCCTACCGGCGTTACTCGGGCCCGTAAGTCACCCTTCCCCAGCAGTGATAGTTCCGAGTGCAGACCAGGGGTCCCACTCCTGCTGGGCAGTGTACTGAATGCCCAGGGTGTGGCTCATGCAGGCAGCCGGTCCTTGA